CCTGCTGAAGGGAAAAAAAATAATAATGTATTGCAATGTCTGGTAAAAAGCCAAGTTATTAGAACAGAATAGAACCTCTTTCACCTGGGGTGGATTTGCTTCTCTAGCATTAATTCAATTTTTTTTTCTTAAACAGAAACTTGCTGTAGACATAACAAATGAATATTTCAGTATGTCCATAAAAGTTAACACACCATTAAAAAAATTAATAAAAAGCATCAACCAATGAAATTGATTGTCAGACCTGTGACCTTCAAAACAGCATCAAAGACACTGCAGGGAGAAAAAGGAAGCAGAAATAAAGCAGCACCTGTACAGATGTTGGTTGGCTGAGAGAGACAGGCAAGCCCAACACAGCAAGCTTCACACATGCAGGCACCTCCATCATCTGTGCACAGTCCTGGTGCAACAAGTGCTCTCCCTTTCTGCCAGTCAGCTTTTAGTAAGTGATTTACAAAGAAAAACATAAACAATCTAAGTAGCTAATCAAGTGGATTATCTATCATATAAACCTATTCCAAATATTTGCAAAGCTCTGCTTCCCCCTGGACTAACCAGGATTGGCAGGAGCAGCCCATTTGCACAGCAACAGCTATTTTAGTGCTTCTTTCCCCAAGTCTTCCAAAAACATTTAGTATTTAGCAAGGCTTATTTGCATTTAACTAGCTCAATGATATTCCTGTCACTTATTGCTGGAAGTCATTGTTTCAATGTAAGCAGTTGCTTATCTGTATGAAAATCCACTTAGTTTTATTTTGTCAAAAGACACAACAGGGGCAGCTCTGAAGAACAACAACCTTCTGGTTCACAGGTGACACCTCTTCTAGAGGCAAACTGAATTAGCACATTAGCACAATAACATGCCATACAGAAATAGGAAAGACTTCATCCCTTTTGTCAAAAAGGGCATCAAATCAAGAGATAAACCAGCTAGACAACCAGCATCCTCGTGGGGAGGAGCACAATGCCACCAGCAAGCCAAAACAACACACAAAGTATGTGCAACAGCCACTCATGTCCTGCTAAAATAAGAGCAATGTGTTTGGGTAGCACTGTTTTAAGTAGACATTGATTGGACTGACAGTGAAGGTTTTCACCACCTCAGAGGGCAGATGGACCAACTATGCTATAAACCTGCCTCAGCCCCAGCTTGAAGTAGAGATAGGAGACCAGTTCAGACAATTAGCATTTTTTTTAAGGCTGCACAGGAGGCAGGCCATGTTTTAGATCATTTGGACAACCTTGGACTAGCAGTGGTTCTTCCTTCTCAAAGAAATGCATGTCAGAATCAATTAGCAATCTCTCTTTTTTTTTAAAACCTATTTTCAACTTCATATTTCTGACCCACAAAGACTAGATGAATTTTTATAAGGAATCTTTTGGGCACACAAAAAACCTTGTGGATATTTGAAAATTATCTGTAAGTGTGCAACAGAATTTACTTATAAAAATAAAACTGAAAGGAAATTATTATTTTGTTCTAAGGAAAAGAGACATTTCTGGTTTCCAAGTCAGTTTTCTTTTTCCTAAGAAATGAATGACCAGTGTCTTCTGGAAATACCACTAAGAGCTGCTAAAAAGTAAACACATTCTCAAGGGTTCTTGTTGCTCTGCTGCTTGTCTTTATTCTCAATCTGAGAGATTATAAATCAATTGCTATATTTAATGCTAAAACCTATGATCTTGGAGAGCACTTGTAGCTAACAAATGGGATTTAAAAATAAAGTGCTTCTGAAAAATGTCTGGAAGCTTGGGTTGGTGTTGAGGGTAAGACCAGTGGGGAAACACTGTTAGAAATGAAATGTAGTGTTACATTTGCATCCTAGTGTTAGAAGCATAGTGTTTGGTTTAGTGTTGTTTTCACATCCTAGTGTTACAAGCGCATTGTTGGGGTTTTTTTATATATATACACCCTAGTGTTAGGAATATAATAGTTTAAGAGAAGGGAGATATGTGCATATTCCAATGCCACCTGGAATGGTTTTACAGTCCAAGAAGCTGAGGGACTGAATTGGGCTCCATCTGGGGGATCTTAACATGGAGCAGGATTTGTGGCCAACATCAGAGCCAACAAAGCCACTTCTGTCTTGCTCCTTGGGGCAGGATGACACTAGGAGGTGCAGATCATTTTGGTGATAGGGAGACAGCCAAGGGGGCAAGAAAGGTCAGAATTAGACCTTAAAAGGTAAAATGTGACCTGCTCAAATGGAATGTGTGAGCAGGGGCAGGAAACTTACAGGATCATTGGAAGCATTGGAGAGGCTGTAAACCCTGGAGTACCCAGTGAGTGGGGAAGCAGGGGAGGCAACTTTGCATCAGAAATAGGGAATATAAACCATTCTTCACCCAACTATGGGTGTGCCTGCTTGTTTAGGTCACCCGTTCTGGGCAGAGTGTCAATAAACTGTGCCTGGCTGCAGGATGCGTTGGGGTCTGTTCCTTGGTGCCACAAACATTTCTCCCAACAGCAGAGCATGAGGAGGATTTACTAGTTCCTCCACTGTGTAAAGCCTTGCCATGTTCACATCCCAATGGTGGATGCAATTGCTCCTCACATCCCTGGGGGACACTCCAGAGTTAGAGGACACATACAGACAGGCAGATAAATTGATGAAACACATGAAGCCTTACCATAAGGGTTATGAACAAGGCAACAGCAACACTGCTGTTCAACAAGTCACTCACACTAGAACTTGAAGGCACTCACCAGGAGATTGATTTGACACAGATGAGTCCCCTTCCAGTCACACTTCAAAAACCACACACACATTTCAGGTACTTACTCCGGGCAAGACATAAGTGGTAGACTGAACCTGACAACAGTAATCCACAAACAACTGGTCTACACCTGGTATTAG